TCCTTTGTCAAAGATAAGGTGACCATAGGTTCGTGGATTTATCTCTGGGCTTTCTATTCTGTTCCATTGATCTATATTTCTGTCTTTGTGCCAGTACCATACTGTCTTGATGACTGTGGCTTTGTAGTATAGTCTGAAGTCAGGCAGATTGATTCCTCCAGTTCCATTCTTCTTTCTCAGGATTACTTTGGCTATTCGAGGTTTTTTGTATTTCCATACAAATTGTGAAATTATTCATTCTAGTTCTGTGAAAAATACCATTGGTTAAAACTCTAGTAGTATTTTTGTAAAAATAAAATTACTATTAAAGTATTTACCTTTAACAAAAGATGTTTCATGGTGGGGAAGAGGGTTTCTGCCTTACATGATGTATCTCTGTGCTATTTAATTTTTTTTCAATGAGAATGTGTTCTTTTATCACTTATTTGATTTCTTTAAAATTTTAAATTAAGTCATATAATTCCATTACAGAGACTTTAGGAAATAAAGAAAAATCTTTTCTAATCCTATCACTAATTCCCCTCAGCCCATCATTAATACTTATCATTAGCATTTTGGTCTTTTTCAATTTAAATAAATGTTAACCCTTCTCTTTACAATTTCGGGAAATTAAATGAAGTTGGCAGATTAAATTAAATGCATAAGCATTCATTGATATTTTCTCATAGTGTCCTTCCAACGGTTTGTTTGGACCAGAACCCCCAGCTCTTGTGTCAGTGGCAGTAGACATGTGTTGTCCATGTAACTTAAGAAAATCAGATTCAAACTGAAAAAAACCACAGCATTAGAAACAAATATATATATATAGAGAGAGAACTGAGCAGAGTGTTTCTAATTATGTCATTTATTCCACATACATTGCATTATTTCAAAATGAAGTTAAAGTAAAACCACCCTTGTAATTTCATGTGCATCCCATGTCCTAGGTTCTACATTCGCAGTGTTGCTTAACTTGGGTGTAAAGGTGAAGTTTCTATCTATGTTCCTAAGGTGAACAGAAGAGGTTACTTTATTCATAATCTGAAGAGAAGAAGTTACTTTATACCTTTGCACACACCTGTCTTTTATGGGGATAAGGGGGATATTAGTTTAATTCTGGAAGATGAACAATGACGTGACTAAGTGCCCCTTCTGATGGATGACGCTGCCATGTACTCTGCCTTCTTTTTGCCTTGCCAAAGTCTTCTCCCACAGTGGCTTCCCTCCTTCTCCCTGCCAGTGGCGCTCAAATGTCTCGGGGTCTCTGACTATTAATAACTAGTGAGGATTCTATTTTACATGGTAGTAAATTTTACATGTATTTTACATGGTAGTGTATATATCGACGCCACTTTCTCAAATAGATGGCTAGTGGGAAGATGCTATATAACACAGGGAACCAAGCCTGGCACTCTGTGATGACCTAGAGGAGTGAGTGGGAGGGAGGATTAAGAGGGAGGGGATATATGTATGTGTGTGTGTGTATATATATATATATTTAGTTATACTGATTCACATTGTTATATGGCAGAAAACAACGCAATATTTTAAAACAACTATCTTCAAATTAAAAATAAATGAAAAGACCTAAGATGGTAATTCTAATTAAAAGATAAATGAGAGAAATAAGAAATGGTAAATAAAAGGTAAATACAAATATAAAAAAATAATAGTTAATGAGGATTGTTAGCGTATGTTTAGACGTGAAGCTGCCTTGAAGTGTGTGTGTTCAGCCACGTCTGACTCTTTGTGGCCCCATGGACTGTAGCCCACCAGGCTCCTCTGTCCATGGGATTTTCCAAGCAAGAATACTGGAGTGCGGTGCCATTTCCTTTTCCAGGGGATCTTCCCAATATCCTGCATCTCTTGTGTCTCCTGCTCTGGCAGGCAGATTCTTTACCACTAGCGCCACCTGGGAAGCTGCCTAATGTATAACCTCTTACACACTATACTGTTTTCTGATTCCTGTTTCTAAAAATACACAGCCAAAACCCCAGCAAACTCCATTTAAACACAGCAGTCTCGCATTCATGTTTCAGGAAAGGCTCAGATTGTGAGTGATACTCCTGAAATCCACTTAACGTGGGTTTTCAGAATGGTTGCCTTGGAAATAGTCATGGCTTAGAGTGAGCTACAAAGACTCTGAATGGTATCAAGGACCTTTACTGTAAGCAGTTTGTCTTTCCCTTTCTCCCCAAGCAGAATTTTTCTGCACTGGTGGTGGAACTCGTTCAGTATGCCATATGGCAGGCCTTGCATTTAGGGTACGTTATTCTGATTTACTTCTCCCAAGATTTTGTTGTGACAAGTTTTGAACATACAATAAAACTGAAAGAATTGAAACATGTATGTCCATATATCCACCACCTAAATTCTACCATTAACACTTTCTGAAATTGCTCTCATTTCTATCCATCTATCTGTTTTTCTATCCACCTATCAATCTGTTATTATTAATGCATCTCAAATTAAGTTGGAAATATCTGTACTTTTCACCCGCAAATACTTTAGTATTCATTTTATTCACTATAGCTTAATATTGTTTATAATTTTTAGATAAAATTTATATAAAGAAAATGTACGTATCTTCATTGGACTGTTTGATAAGTTTTGACAAAAACCAGCACCTGTATACAGGAAACGTCATCAAGATATAGAACCATGCCCAAACAATTTCCTCGTGCCCCTTTTCTGGTAAACTTCATGACCACCCTCAGGAACCACTGTTCTGATTTTTTTCCCACCATAGATCAGAACAGCATATAGAATAAGGGAGTCATAGGATAGGTGTGTACTTAGTTTCATAAGAAACCACTAGCCTTGTTTCCAAAGTGGTTGTACAATTTTAGACATAACCAATAAGGTATGAATGTTCTGGTTTCTCCATATCCTCACCATGTGTTGTCAGTCTTTTTAATTTTTACTGACTTTTGTGGGATTGTAGTGGTGGTTAATTTTCATTTCCCTGATGACTAATGATATTTTTTTGAATCTCTTCTGCTATTCAAATCTTTGCTTGTTTTTAACTGGATTATTTGTCCTTTATTACCAAGTTATAGGAGTTCTTCCTGTTTTCTGAATACCATTTGTTTTTTGGGTGTATGTTTTGCAAATATTTTCTTCCAGTATGCAACTTGCCTACTCATTGTCAAATGGTAAACAGTTTTTAAATGGTAGATCAACCTTCTGATGAGCATAAGTTTTAAATTTTGTTGAAGTCTAATTAGTAATTTTTTCCTTCCATGTTTATTACTTTCTGTGTCCCATCTAAGAAAGCTTTTCCTACTTTCAAGTCATAAAAATGTCCTCCTGTGATATTTCTTTCCTAGAAGTACTACAGTTTTTTTTTTTTTGAAGCACTACAGTTTTAACCTTTATGTTTAAGTCCATGATCCATTTCAAATAATTTTTGTGTGTGGTGAGAAGTAGGAGTCAGAGTCCCTTTTTATTCAGTGATGTCCAGGTGTCCCAGCACAATTTATTGAAAAAATTTTTGCTTTTCTCATTGTGTTGGCACGCTTATCAAAAATTAATTGGATGTACAAGTATGAGTCTATTTCCCAATAGAAAGGTGAGAAGCTATTCTGCTTCACACATAAATTTGTGTATACTAGTAGCACACTGCTTTGCTTATTATTATAGTTTTACGTAAGACTTGAAATCAAGTAGTGTAGATCCTCTAACTCTTATTTTTCAAGATTGTTTGGGGTAAATCCTTTGAATTTTTATACAGATTTGGGGATCAAGTTGTCAATTTTATCCCCCTCAAATCCTATTGGAATTATGGTTGGGATTACATTGAATCTATAGATAAAATTGGAGAGAATTGACATCTTACTAATATTGATTGTTTTAATCCATGAACATGAGATGTCATTTCATTTGTATAGGTCTTATTTAACTTTTCTCAGAAATGTTTTATAGTTTTTAGGGTATAGATCTTATCCATCATTTAAAAAATTTATTTCTAAGCATGCAATTTTTATCCTATTGTAAATAAATTTTGAAAAAACATTTTTCCAAATGTTAGCTGCTGTAATGTGATTTGCTTTAGTGATGTGAATGTTTGGAAGGCAACCTTCCTCATCATTTGCATTTTTACATGAAAAAAAGCCTGTTTTTTTCATCTCTTCAAAGAGATGGAGTGAAGTTAGCCCCAATCTGAGAGCTGGTGAACCAAACATCAGTCAAAGTTTGCTTCCTACAAGCTGTGTGAACTTGGCCAAGAATGATTTTCAAATTCTGTCCCCATTTCTGCTGCTACTTAACACAATCAAAATGTAACTACTCATTCATTGCAGTCTTTTCTATGATAGAGACAGAACTTTAAACTCTGGTTCAGTAACACATTTGCAAATCTAGTAGAAGCCTTGAATTTTCTTCCCAGAGAAGTGTGCACACACACACGCACGCATGCATGCACACATACACACACAATTTTCTGTGCAACTTTAGGATGTGCAGGAAGTCTCGAAGCCTTCTGGGATCTATAGACTGCTAATTATGAAGCCATTCTAGAGTGAGAGCTCTAAGGGCTAACTGCTTTCACGTCTGCGTGAAAGTATGGAATGAGGGCTGCCACTCTAAATCCCATGCCTTTATGGCGTTTTCTAGGCAGAGAGGGTCTAGATTTCCACAAGCTCAGGTTTTGACTTGCTTTTCTTCCTCCACGGGATACTGTATCCCTCTGAGGGACACAGCAGTGGGGCAGTTTGGTGTTGCTGTTGGTGAGGCCACCCTGCCAGGCAACTGCCCTGGGGAGCCTGGACCCACTCTCCAGGCATTGTCTCATTCCGGAATCTTCCCCAACTGTGTTCAGCCTCCCCACGCCTTCACCTCTGGCTCCATGCAGGAAGTGCGTCCGCAGGGGCAGGTGCTGAAGTCGGCTGTGCGGGGTGACACGGGCAGCGTTTCAGAGCAGCCCTCTCTGGCTAAAGTACATCCTGCTGTCCTCTCTGGTGGTTCCCATAAGCAGCTCTGGCGGTGGAGGTGATGTTGTGTGTGTGCCTCTGTTCACCCAGGTGCCGGGGACATGGGCAGCAAACTCTCTGTGCCAGGCAGTGAGCCCACAGTGCAGGGCCCGAGGACGGAAGGCATTCATGCTGCATACAGGCGAGGCGACATCAGCAGAGCCCAGCACCTGCTCCGAGAAGCTTGTGACGAGAGCACATCCCAGCTGGAAAAGGTAAGGTCTATGCCAGCCCTTCTTGCCAGAACTGGGAACCCAGGTTGGGTGAAGGTTACCATGAAAATTGTTTCCTTGTTATCATTATAATCATAATGGGGATATTTCTTGGGTTCTGAATACCTTGTTTCTCATGTAAACCTCCTGGTGTCAGTCCTTTCAAGTGGACTTCTCAGCTTGTCAGGTAAGAACACTGCGCCATCATTCCCAGGGGCAGGAAGGGGTCACAGAAAGGAAAAGGACAAAACTGACAGTGGAGGGTTTAACCTAATATAGTCTTTTTTTTTTTTTTAATTTTTTAAATTTTTTTACTAATATAGTCTTTTATACTTTTTTTCCACTATAAAACAGCACATGTGCAAACTGAAAAATTCAAAAATATATAAAAGTAAGGGGAAAAAGAACCAAAATTAATCATCCAAACAATCCCACTGAGCATTTTTGGTATACTCTTTTCCGAGCTGCTGATCTGAACATTCATCTTTTGTTTTTATTGTTTCTAATATAGACACAGTCTTATTTATGCAGTTTTGCATACTGCTTTCTCTTACATAATATTATATGAGCCATTTTCTGTATGACTGTAGATTCCTTATGTGCATCACCTTCACTGGATACATGACACTTCATCTGGTGGAGACACTGTCACTTATCTGGCTATTCCTTTTGGTTAGATATTTGGATTGTTTCTAATTTTTTATTACTATAAATAATACTGTACTGAATGTTTTTTGCCTAATTGTTTTCTTATTGTCAGATATTTTCTTTGCTTAGGTAGATTTGCAAGAATTAGAATGTGGGTAAGAGCATTTTTAAAATTTTGAACATATGCCAAACTTTTTCCAAAAGCTTGTAGAGATCAACCCTCTTGCCGGCCTACAGCTTTGGAAGATCATTGCCATGTTCTGGTCCTTGTGGGAAATTCTTATTGGCTGTTAACAGGAGAGCACTTTATTGATGTTATATGTGTAATACTTTGATTAACACAGGTTTAAGGTTTTCATTTAATTAATAGTTGGAAATAGCTCAATTACTAAACCTCCAGCCTGTTCACAAAGTTGTAAGAGAATTTTTGGGGGGAAATGGTCAAGTTCAACGTGCTTGATAATTATTGAGGAGAGAGCATTTTTGGAAAATTCTCCAAGCGAGGCTTTAACAGTATGTGGACCAAGAACTTCCAGATGTCCAAGCTGAATTTAGACAAGGCCAAGGAACCAGAGATCAAATTGCCAACATCCGCTGGATCATAGAAAAGGCAAGAGAATTCCAGAAAAACATCTGCTTTATTGACTATGCCAAAGCCTTTGACTGTGTGGATCACAACAAACAGTTGGAAATTCTTAAAAAGATGGGAATACCAGACCACCTGACCTGCTTCCTGAGAAATCTGTATGCAGGTCAAGAAGCAACAGTTAGAACTGGACATGGAACAACAGACTGGCTTCAAATTGGGAAAGGAGTACGTCAGAGCTGTATATTGTGACCTTACGTATTTAGCTTATATGCAGAGTGCATCATGAGAAATGCTGGGCTGGATGAAGCACAAGCTGGAATCAAGCTTGTGCTTGATTGCCGAGAGAAATATCAATAACCTCAGATAGGCAGATGACACCACGCTTATGGCTGGAAGTGAAGAGGAACTGAAGAGCCTCTTGAATGTGAAAGAGGAGAGTGAGAAAGTTGGCTTTATTTAAACTCAGCATTCAAAAAACTCAAGTTATGGCATCCAGTCCCAGAACTTCATGGCAAATATATGGGGAAACAATGGAAATAGTGAGAGAATATTTTCTTGGGCTCCAAAATCACTGCAGATGGTGACTGCAGCCATGAAATTAAAAGATGCTTGATCCTTGAAAGAAAAGCTATGACCAACCTAGACAGCATATTAAAAGGCAGAGACATTACTTTGCCAACAAAGGTCCATCTAGACAAAGCTATGGTTTTTCCAGTAGTCATGTATGGATGCGAGAGTTGGACCATAAAGAAAGCTAAGTGCCAAAGAATTAATGCTTTTGAACTATGTTGTTGGAGAAGACTCTTGAGAATCCCTTGGACTGCAAGGAGATCAAACCATTCAATTCAAAAGGCAGTAAGTCCTAAATATTCATTGGAAAGACTAATACTGAAGCTGAAGCTCCAATACTTTGGCCATCTGATTCGAAGAATTGACTCATTGGAAAAGACCCTGATGCTGGGAAAGATTAAAGGCAGGAGAGGAGAAGAGGAAGACAGAGGATGAGATGGTTAGATGGCATGACTGACACAATGGACATGAGTTTGAGCAAGCTCCAAGAGTTGGTGATAGGGAAGTCTGACGTGCTGCAGTCCATGAGGTCGCAAAGAGTTGGATGTAACTGAGTGACAGAACTGAACTGAGCATTTTTGATTCCTCCCATTATGGATTCACAGTACATGTGGTCAAAGCCTCTTTTCTTATGGGAGTACCCGAGCAGGTCAGAGTTGCTGGCCCGTCGTTCGTGGCCTGGGGATTTTAAGCGGGGACCCAAGAAACAGCAGTCTGAAGTGTTACCCACAGAGCAGTCGCGCTGTCTGGGACCTTTTCCCAAATGGAACTCCAGACTGCCGTCACAGAACTTACCATTGAACCTGAACCTCTTGCATCTCCTGCATTGGCAGGCAGTTTCTTTACCACTAGCACCATCTGGGAAGGCGTGTTTAAGTCCAGATATCAGCAAATTCAGTTTCCTGATGTATGTACTATTGCTCTCCTCTGCGGTTTCTTTTTTTCCCTTTTAATGTGTATTGAAAATAGACTAGATAATTCTCTAATAAATATTTGTATGTTAATTTGTATACAATGAGGAAATATATATATATATATAACTAAATAATATAATTTGTTAACAAATCTGAACCTGAGACGAATGTGAAAACTTTTGGCAAAACAATGATGCTGTTTCAAAGAAATAGGATATGAGACACTTATAAGGTCAAGTTTTCTAGAAGTAGCATTAATAAAAAAAATTAAAAAAATAAAAGGCAAAAAAAAACCTAAACAAAACAGGCAAACTTTTCTTAATTCTTAATTTTTTAAATTATAATAGTATTATAACACATTTACAGAAGACTTGAAAAATGAAGAACCAAGTTACATATAGTTCTACTATGTATTACAATTTTTTAAGTAGATAAATTAAGATTTTTAGTTGGAATTTCAAAATCAAACCCTCAAAAGTTAATAGAATAACTGGACATAAAAGTAGAAGAATATAGTAGACCCGAAAAGCACTGTGAATCAATTTAACATTATTAAGATTTATACAATTTTTACACAATGCAGGATACAAGTTCTAATCAAGTTGCCATAGACCATAAACCAGGAGACACACAAATGTAATCCAGGGACATTAAAAAAAAGGAAAAACTTTCATGGTCAAAGGTATTGAAGTCATACAGTCTGTTCTCTTATCACTGCACACTTATGTTAGAAACCAGTATCAAAAGATATTTTAAAATAACCCACATATTTTCAAGTGTAATGTGACAGTTATCAAGAGACTTAGCCATTGAAAACTTCAAGAAGGTTAAAAGACAGAAAACACAGAAGGTGATTGCAGAGAAGAAAGAATTTAAATGAGAAACTAATATCAAAATGAGAAATTAACATCAAGAATACTTTAAAAACTCCATGTATTTGGAAAATAAATGTCCACTTTTAGATGATGGGTGTATCTAAGAAACCATAACAAAGAAAATTAGAAAATATTTGTAACATTAAAAATGAAAGAATTTTTCAGAACTTGTTGCATGCAGCTGGAACAGCTCAATGCAACTAAATACAATGTGGAATCTGGAAAACACCTAATGAACAGTGGAGGGTCTCCTGTGGAGGTGTGGGCTGGCAGTGGCTTGCCACGGGGACAGAGGCATTGGCAGCAGCAGTTCTGGGAGGTGCCCCTTGGCAAGCGAGCGCTCTTGGAAGTGGTTATTAACCCTGCCACAGAGCCTGTAGACTCCAGGGTTGAGTCACCTCAGGCCAAACAGCTAATAGGGTGGGAGCCCCAGCCATCAGCAGATTACAGTGTTACTGACCATGACCCTGCCCACCAGGAGAAGACCCAGTTTTTTCCCATACCAGCCCCTCCCAACAGGATTATCTCCCAGATGAAAGAACAAGATAAAACCCCAGAAAAACAACTAAATGAAGTAGACATAGGCAACATTCCAGAAAAAGAATTCAAAATAATAATAGCGCAGATGATTTCAGTTCAGTCGTGTACAACTCTTTGCGACCCCATGGACTTCAGCATGCCAGGCATCCCTGTTCATCACCAACTCCTGGAGCTTGCTCAAACTCGTGTCCATCGAGTCGGTGATGCCATCCAGCCATCTCATCCTCTGTCGTCTCCTTCTCCTCCTGCCTTCGATCTTTCCCAGCAACAGGGTCTTTTCCAATGAGTCAGCTCTTCACATCAGGTGGCCAAAATATTGGCGTTTCAGCCTCAGCATCAGTCCTTCCAATGAATATTCAGGACTGATTTCCTTTAGGATGGACTGGTTGGATCTCCTTGCAGTCTAAGGGACTCTCAAGGTCTTCTCCAACACCACAGTTCAAAAGCATCAATTCTTCAGTGCTCAGCTTTTTTTATAGTCCAACTCTCACATCCATACATGACTACTGGAAAAACCGTAGCCTTGACTAGAAGGACGTTTGTTGGCAAAGTAATGTCTCTGCTTTTTAATATGCTATCTAGGTTGGTCATAGCTTTTCTTTCAAGGAGCAAGCATCTTTTAATTTCATGGCTGCAATCACCATCTGCAGTGATTTTGGAGTCCCCCCAAATAAAGTCTGTCACTGTTTCCTTTGTTTCCCATCTATTTGCCATGAAGATTTGACCTGATGCCATGATCTTAGTTTTCTGAATGTTAAGTTTTAAGCCAACTTTTTCACTCTCCTCTTTGATTTTCATCAAGAGGCTCTTTAGTTCTTCTTCACTTTCTGCCATAAGGGTGGTGTCATCTGTGTATCTGCGTTTATTGATATTTCTCCTGGCAATCTTGATTCCAGTTTTTGCTTCATCCAGCCCAGCATTTCTCATGATATACTCTGCATATAAGTTAAATAAGCAGAGTGACAATATAGAACCTTGCTTGACATACTCCTTTTCCTATTTGGAACCAGTCTGTTGTTCCATGTCCAGTTCTAACTGTTGCTTCTTGACCTGCATACAGATTTCTCAGGAGGGCAGTCAGGTGGTCTGGTATTCCCATCTTTTTAAGAATTTTCCACAGTTTGTTATGATCTACACAGTCAAAGGCTTTGGTGTAGTCAATAATGCAGAAGTAGATGTTTTTCTGGAACTCTCTTGCTTTTTCAATGATCCAACAGATGTTGGCAATTTGATCCAGTTGATTTAGGATCTTGGAAAAAGAATGGAGAAGATGAAAGAAATGTTCAACAAAAACCTGAAGAACTAAAGAACAAACAAACAGAGATGAACAATACACTAGAAGGAATCAACAGCAGAATCACAGGTAGAATGGATAAGCGACCTGGAAGAGAGAGTGGTGGAAATTACTGCTGTAAAACAAAATATAGAATAAAGAATGAAAAAAATGAAGACAGCCTAAGAATGTCCTGGGAATACATTAAAGGTACCAACATTCGCTTTATAGGGGTCCCAGAAGGAGAAGAGAGAGAAAGGACCCAAGAATGTATTTGAAGAGGTAAGAGCTGAAAACTTCCCTAACATGGGAAAAGAAATAGTCAACCAAGTCCAGGGAGCACAGAGAGCCCCAGGCAGGATAAACCCAAGGAGGAACACACTGAGACACATAGTAATCAAACTGACAAAAATTAAAGACAAAGATAAAATATTAAAAAGCAACAAGGGACAGATGACAAATACAAGGGAATTCTCATCAGGTTATCAGCTAATTTCTCAACAGAAACTCTGCAAGCCAGAAATAAATGGCACAATACATTTAAAGTGATGAAAGGGAAGAATCTACAACCAGGAATACTCTATCCAGCAACACCTCATTCAGATTTGACGTCAAAATCAGGTCGTACAGACAAACAAAAGCTAAGAGAATTCAGCACCACCTAACCAGCTTTACAGTAAATGCTAAAGGAACTTCTCTAGGCAGGAAACACAAAATAAGGAAAATACCTACAAAGAATAAACCCAAAGCAATTAAGAAAATGGTAATAGGATCATACATATCAAACTTAACTTAAATGTAAATAGATTAAATGCACCAACCAAAGGACATGGACTGGCTGGGTGAATGAAAACATGTGCGTATATGTATTTCCACGTACCACATCACTCTGCTTAATGCCTCAAATCGTAATTATTTTATACTGTTAGGTTAATCATGTTTCCATTATGGCTTGCAATTACAATTGTCTTTTATTTTTTGTCTGACTATTAATTGTGAAAACTGATGAACATCTCTTGCTATTGTGATTATATAACTATTAATAGTATTCTAATACAATTCTTAAAATATAAAGAAATATCATGTTGTAAGAAAACAGGAAATTAACCTGTGATATAATATTATTAACTAAAGCACAGATAATAGTCAAACTTCACAAAACAGGTAAACTTTAATAGTCTGTTTTATTTAACTAGAATATATTAAAGATTATCATTTCAACATATAATCAATATAAAAATTATTGACAAGATTGTTGTTGTTTTTTCAGTCACTAAGTCGTGTCTGACTCTTTGCAACCCCATGGACGGCAGCACACCAGGCTTCCATGTCCTTCACTATCTCTCAGAGTTTGCTCAAACTCATATCTCTTGGGTTGGTGATACTGTCTAAGTTATCTAACTATCTCATCCTCTGCTGCCTCCTTCTCCTTTTGCCTTCAATCTTTCTGGCATCAGGATCTTTTGCAATGAGTTGGCTCTTTGCATCAGGTGTCCAAAGTATTGCAGCTTCAACTACATCATCAGTCCTTCCAGTGATTATTCAGGACTGATTTCCTTTAGGATTGACTAGTTTGATCTCTTTGCAGTCCAAGGGACTCTCAAGAGTCTTCTTCAGCTCCACAAGTTAAAAGCATCAATTCTTCAGCGCTCAGCCTTCTTTATAGTCCAACTCTCACATCCATACATGACAACTGGAAAAACCATAGCTTTGACTATATGGACCTTTGTCAGCAAAATATGTCTCTGCTTTTTAATACACTGTCTAGGTTTGTCATAGCTTTCCTTCCGAGGGACAATTGTGTGTTAGTTTTCTTTGCTGTAGTCACTATCCACTGTGATTTTAGAGCCCCAGAAAATATTGACAAGATAGTTTACCATTTTGTAGTAAGTCTTTGAAATCACCTGGAAAAGAATCTGATGCTGGAAAAGACTGAAGGCAGGAGGAGAAGGGGACAACAGAGGAAGAGATGGTTGGATTGCATCACCAACTTGATGGACATGAGTTTGAGCAAGTTTCGGGAGTTGGTGATGGACAGGGAAGCCTGTCATGCTGCTTAGGGTTGCAAAGAGTCAGACACGACTGAGCGACTGAAATCACATACGATTTTACGTTTTCAGCACATCTCACTTTGCATGAGCCATATTTCAAGGCTTAACAGTCACATGTGACTGGTCCTGCCATCCTGGGCAGCCTAGTCCCAGACTTGCCCGTGGGCTTGGTGAACCTTTAGAGTCGATTCTCTTGGCAGTTCCCAGCAGCACTCTTCTTGCTGACATCTTGTCCCTGTTCTGTTTTGACCAGGGCCAGCTCCTGAGCATCTCTGCTGCCTATGGTGACCTGGAGACCGTCCGGTATCTTCTCACTGAGAGGCTGGTGGAGCTACCAACGGAGCCCACCGATGACAACCCCGCCGTGGTGGCAGCACAGTTTGGGCATGCTGATGTTGTTCAGGAGCTACTCGAGTCTTTGCCAGGTAAAGAGTCTTTGCTTCCCTGGGGGCTCAGATGGTAAAGAATCCGCCTGCAATGCAGGAGACTCGGGTTCAACCCCTGGGGTGGGAAGATCCCCTGGAGAAGGAAATGGCTACCAACTCCGGTACTCTTGCCTGGAAAATCCCATGGACAGAGGAGCCTGGCGGGCTACAGTCCATGGGGTCTCAAAGAGTCAGACACAACTGAGCGACTTCACTTACTTTGCCCGGTAAGTCCTAGGGTGTGAGTTCTTCAGCCCCACTCAGGGACCCTCCTTTTGAAAAAATACTTATTTCCTTATTTGTTTGGCTTCCTTGAGCTTTGGTTATGGCACGAAGGATCCCCGTCGCTGCACACAGGCTTCTATCCTGTTGTGGCGCACCAGCTCAGCTGCCCCACAGCATGTGGGGTCTTAGTTCCTCAACCAGGGATTGAACCAGCATCCTCTGCATTGGAAGGCGGATTCTTAACCACTGGACCACCAGGGAAGTTCCTCAGGGACCCTCTTTTCCTAGGAACCAGACAGACATTTGAAGGGGGGTGGCTGCACTCCAAGTTGTTTATGTCTTCACACTGTTTAGCAGTCCAGATCCAGAAATCTGGGGGTATTCTTTAAAGCAGTTTTAGGCTTAAAGAAAAATTGTTGAGCAAGTACCAAGAATTCTCATATACCACCCTCCACAGTTTCCCTATTATTGATGTTTTGTATGAGAATGGTACAGTTGTTAAAATTGATGAACAAACCAATATTGATATGTTATTACTAATGGGAGCTCATAGTTTGCACCAGGGTTGTATATTCTATGACTGTTAACAAATGTGTAATGACATATATGTACCATTACTGTATCATGCAGAGTAATTTCACTGCCCTCCTATTCTACCTGTTCATCTTTTCCTCAGCTCCTGGCAACCACTGATCTCTTTACTGTCTTCATAGTTTTGCCTTTTCCAGAATGACATATAGTTGGATTCGTATGGTATGTAGCCTTTTCGGATAGACTACTTTCACTTAGCAGTATGCATTCAAGTTTCCTCCATGTCTTTTCATGACTTGAGAGCTCATACACACACACACACACACACACACACACACACACATATATTTTATCACTGAATAACATTACATTGTCTGGATGTTCCTTACTATGTTGCTTTCTTAATAACAAGTAATTTTTTCTCTGGTAGACTCAGGCATCCTGGTCTCCTTAGATTTCCTACAATGGCCTTGGATCTGTTACAGTTATTGCTACAGCTATAGGCTGAGGCATTGTCTTACCAGTGGTTGTTGGGAGTTAGGATTTTGCAAGGGAATCAGGCCAGCTTCATGGGTATGTGACAATGCAGTCACACAGGGCCCCGTACTTAGAAGGGCCCCACACTTGGTTGTGAGCTTGCCTGCCAAGTTGCTTCAGTTGTGTCCAACTCTTTGCAGTCCTGTGGACTGTAGTCTGCCAGGCTCCTCTGTCCATGGGATTCTCCAGGCAAGAATACTGGAGTGGGTTGCCATGCCCTCCTCCAGTGGATCTTCCCAACCCAGGGATGAAACCCATGTCTCTAAGGTCTCCTGCATTGGCAGACATATTCTTTACCACTAGCACCACCTGGGAATTACATGGGAATTACATGTAGCGCCCACTACACTCCAATTACCCTCTTGAAATTTGTAATAATTTTTAAACAAGGGACCCCATTTTAAGTTTTACGTTGGACCCCACAAATTATGAAACTGCAGCCCACTCCAGGATCCTTGCCTGAAAAATCCCATGGACAGAGGAGCCTGACGGGCTTCAGGTCACAGGGTTGCAACAGGTCGGACACAACTGAGCAACTAACACACACACACAAACACCACAAATAATGCAGTAGTACTGTTAAGGGCTTCCCTGATAGCTCGTTTGGTAGAGAATCTGCCTGCAATGCAGGAGACCCCGGTTTGATTTCTGAGTCGGGAAGATCCACTGGAGAAGGGATAGGCTACCCACTCCAGTATTCTTGGGCTTCCCTTGTAGCTCAGCTGGTAAAGAATCTGCCTGCAATGAAGGAGACCTGGGTTTGATCCCTGGGTTGGGAAGATCCCCTGGAGAAGGGAAAGGCTACCCAGTCCAGTATTCTGGCCTGGAGAATTCCATGGGCTGTATAGCCCATGGGGTTGCAAAGAGTCAGATACAACTGAATGACTTCCACTTTTCACTTTTTTTTTTCACTGTTAAGGGAGTGTCTGACTGTGTCCTTTGAGGTAGATTTGTGCTCAGATTTGGTTCCAAGCTGGCATGCCCCTCATATGCCTGGAGGAAGAATGAGTTTATGAACAGAAATCAGGGCAGTGTTAGGGCCCATAGACACAGATTGGGTCAAGCAACGTATAGGAAGGCAGAGAGGAGAGGAGCCCCTGAGGTGCCAGTGGCTGATTCTTTCTCAGGAATCCCCAAGAATAGCTCTCTTCTTGCCCTAAAGAATCTATGCCAGCTGACTCACTCAATGGACAGCTTACATTTATTGATCATTTGCCAAGTACTGGACACCCTGCAGAACCTGAAAGACACAGAGGCTTTTTAAAAAAGGTGGTCCCAGCCCTTTAGTAGCTCCTGGTCCATCAGAAGAAATTGAGGCAGAAAAGACTAACTGTGTGCTGTAACCACGCAGAGGTTGAAATGTCTACACAGTCGTTTGCGACCACACATCAGGGAATGGTCTTGTCTGTGTGCAGGCTGGGGTCTTCAGGAGTCAACGTCTCACCTGGGCTTTGTAGACTGAGCAGGAGTTTACTTGGCAGGCAAACAAGGGAAGAGCCTGGTTTGCCTGCTTCTGCAGAGCAGGGAGCTTGGCTCGACCTGAGTATGTTGGAGCTGAGCATGGTTTTCAGCGGCTCCCGGGCTGTCCTGTCCTTAATTCACCTCGGGACAGAGCTGGTGAAACTGAAAGAGTTGAGGGCATTTGCTGAGCCCTGTGGGGAGTGCAGAGATGGGCAGAACAGTGTCTGTCCTCTGGGAATTCCCAGCCTGTAGGGAGGGTGGCCCTTGTCAGGAGTAAGGTAAGAGGCAGCTGGAGGACAAGGGCGGGTCCAAGTAGAAGAGGAATGAGAGATCCATGGTGGGCAGGTACATCACTGTGTAATTATGGACATCATTCAAAGGACATCATCATGTAATTCCTGGTCTTGCAGCTCAGCAGGGCTGACAAGAAAGAGGAGGTGGAAAGATGGATACCAAAATGGGGCTTTTTGAGCTGGATTTGGGCCTCAAAGAATACACACAGGGGTTTGTATGGTTAAGATAGTACCCTTTGGTTTTCGGTAAAGCAGAACTTAAGGCTTGACTTCGCCATTTACCAACTGTCGGACCTTTAGCAAGTTCCCGACTGTCCCTGAGCTTTGGTTTCCTCATATTAAAATGATGACTGTGAAATACAGGGCCTGCCTCCTGAGACTGACACACTCCATCCTCAGCGGGAGTTAGCAGCATGACAACCGCACTTCTCACAGCTGGATATCTGGTCCTAACTGAGTTAGGGTTAATTTGTTTTCTGCTCATATACCTCCTCCTTTGAATTGTTTGTTTTAGTCATCAATTGAGGGCAAAGAAGGGACATTTATTTAGCACCTGCTGCACCCCAGACATGATGCCAGGTACCTTGTGTATTGGGTTTTAATTCTTGCCTTCTCTACCTCACCCCCATTTCCTGGTCAATTTCCTATGACACAGAGGGGTACTCTCTCCAGGCTCCAGAGCACTTTGGTTCCAGAGAACTCTCCACCTCTGCAAATGAGTGTTATGATGCAGTTTGGAAGTGTCCACATGGGGGATGAGATCATTTTTCCATGGCAGCTAGATCCAAAAGACCTTGCATTACTTTGAACTTGAAGATACTGTGACATTTCAGCCCATGCTGTCCCTGTTCATTCAGTGTGTTATTTCATCCTGGAATTAAGTAGGCAGTTCTTTTAGGGAGCAGTTCTCTTAAGTTTTAGGCTGATCTGTTTCTTCATCAGAGTATTTTTAAACTTATGAAAGTGGTATATGTATATTACAGACAATTCGGGAAAGCAGAAAGTGTTATTACTCTAAGAACATAATAACATACCACAATGAGTTATATCAGGCACTTGACAGATGTTATGACAGTTTACTAAGTCAAGTACTTGATATACACAATGTCATGTAATCCTCACATTAAACTTGGAAGGCAGGGTGTTCCTTTTCCCATTTTACTTATGGGTAAACTGAGCCACAGAGAGGATAAGAAATTTGCCCCAGATGACACATTTTAATATTTTAATTATTTAATATTTTAATCCTAAGTCACCTGCCTCCAAAACCTGTATCCCTGTGTATGATGCTGCTCCAGGGATGCGGTCAGGGCTGGGGATGAGGCAGAGAGTAAGGGCATCTCAGCATCCCACCACCCAGAGAGAATTCTGCAGCACTGAGGGTAGGTGGTTCTTCCTAGTCTTATTTCCACACATACATTTTTCATCGCAGTTTCACTGCATGTGCTGTTCTGAATGCTACTTTTCCCCAGCCGGTGTTGTTTGATGGGCAGGCGGGTTTATAGTGATGTGGGAAAATGTCATATGCAGTTCAGAGGGGCTGTTCCTTAGACACTGTCAACTGGACATAGCGACTTTCAGCTGGAAACAGGGCCGTGGCTGGAGGGGACCTCAGAGCAGGAGCAGCTGTGCCTTCAGCCGCCCTCTCTCTGTCCTCTCATCCGTGCAGGTCCCTGCAGCCCCCAGCGGCTCTTGAACTGGATGTTGGCCTTGGCGTGCCAGCAGGGGCACCTGGCAGTAGTGAAGCTCCTGGTCCTGCGCCACGGGGCCGACCCTGAGAGCCACGCAGTCAGGAAGAATGAGTTCCCTGTCATCGTGCGCCTGCCGCTATACGCAGCCATCAAGTCAGGTGGGTGCCGGTCAGGCCGCCCGTGACAGCCTTTGTCCTGTAGAGACATGGGCCCGCCCTTCACGCTCGCCTTCAGCTCTCCAGGGCCTGTGTGGGGTTTCCCAGCTCTGTTCTTGGCTTCTTCTTCAAAAGATCTGCGTCCTTCTTCCTCCCCACGACTCCCTCCTGCGAGGGGATTTCAGTGCCAGGGACCAGCCATCGCAAACACGACTTCTCGGAGGCGCTGCAGAGGGCAGAGCTCCACTGAAGTGCTCTCACTGACAGGAACCTGTGGAGTCAGGGGAGGCAACAGAGACGTTCAACAGCGCCATGCCCTTTTCCTTTTCGTTTCACATGCGCGTCTGGCCTTTTGGACCGCCGTGACACACCCTGCGTCCCAAATGCCCTGAGCGCTCTGCTTTCTGTCCTGTAGGGAATGAAGATATTGCCATATTCCTGATTCGGCATGGAGCCTTTTTCTGCTCCTACATTTTACTGGACAGTCCTGACCCCAGCAAACATCTCCTCAGGAAGTATTTTGTTGAAGCAAGTGCTTTGCCTGGCAGTTGTCCGGGAAAAATGGTGAGTAGTCTTTGTCTGTGGATGGATGGATGAGGAAGAGGTGGATTATTTTTCAACCATGAGAAAGAAGGACATGGTTCCATTTGTAACAACGTGGATGGATTTTGAGGACATTATGCTAGGTGAAAGAAGTCAGACAGAGAAAGATAAGTATGGTATGTTTTTATTTATAGGTGGAAACTAAAAAAGCCAAACCATGGAAACAGTAGATGGTTTGCCAAGGCCTGAGGGGTGGGGCAAATAGCTGGAATGTTGGTCACTTCAGCCATATGATAAATAAGCCCGGGAGATCTAATGTGTAGCACTGTGATTACAGCTAATAACACTGTGTTATATACATGAAAGTTTCTAAGAGAATAAATCTCAAATGTTCTCGCCACAAAAAAGAAATAGTAATTAGGTGGCATGGTACAGGTGTTAGCTAAGGTTACAGTAGTAATCATTTTACAATATATAAATGTATTATATCAGCAGGTCATAACTTACACAATGTCATATATCAATTATAGCTCAATAAAACTGGGAAAAAACACATATGGGAATTAGCTCTAGTTAGTTTACCATTTTAATAACAAAAATAGGATTGCATTATTTACATTATCTTCAATTTGGCTTTTTAAATTGAGCACTCTGTCACTGACACCCCCTCGATCAGTCAGTGTAGCTGTATCTCATTCTTTTTGACATGTGCCTCAAATCTAGAGTGAATGTAGCTTAGTTGACTCAGCCCTTTTCCTGGTGGTGGACATTTGGATCATTTCTGGGTTTGCCCTTGTGATATAGCCTGATTTCTAGGGTATTTCTTATGTAGATCAAAGTCCTGAAAGTGGACTGCTTTGGAACCACTTCCGCAAATGCTGCGGTGACTCACTCTCACCAGCGTGACATGGGGATTCCAATTCCCCACATGCTGGCCAGCACTGGATGTCCAGGGGCATTTTAATTTTCATCACTCTGATGGGTTAAAATGGAATCTTCTTGTTTTAATGTCCGCATTTCTTTTCTTAATAATGTTGAGCATCTTTGCATATCCTCATAAATCATTTGTGTCTCCCCTTATGTGAGTTGCCTGTTACAGTTTATTGATTATTTTTCTCAAGGATTACTCACCTTTTCCTTCTAATTTTGAAGAGTCTTATTGTATATTAGAGATTTTAAGCCTTTTTTGTTTATCATAGATGTTACCAATATTTTTCCCAATCCATTATTTGTCTTTTGTCTGTTATCTTTTGAGATAACAAAGATAAGTGAATATGTAATCAAATATGTCTGTCTTTTCATTTATGGCAGTTAGGTTATATAAGAAAGTCATTTTCCCCTCAATTTTATGTAAATATTCTCCTAGAATCTTTTATTCTATTTTGACTCTTTTATTTTTTACATTTTAAGCCTTAGTTTTCCTTTTATTTCTTTGTGTATGTGGTTTCAGGGAGCGAATCTAACTTTCCTCTCTTCCAGGTGGATGATCAAATATTCCAGCACAATTTTTAAAGTAAACTTTGATTTTCTTTCTGGATTAAAATGTCACCATTGCCATTTCTTCCGATATATACTTATATACATTTTGGGATTCTCTGCACTGATCCACTAGCCTTTTAATCTATTTCTGTTCAAATGCCATGCTGTTTTGATTACAGGCATTTTATTTAAACCTTACGACTGGTTAAGGCAAGTTTTCTACTCCTTATTTGCTTTTTTCAAAAATATCTTAACTGTTATCAGACATCTGTTTTTTCCATTCTGTGCATTTCCCATGGTAACTTTCATGGTGATTTGTGCTGCATTTAGGTTTTTTAATGGGATTTTATAGTTTTATTGATAAAGGTTTCCTGAACATATTTTGTTTATTTATTATTGTTTTTGCCATTGTTTGAATGGAATGTATATCATTCTTTCCCATTTCCGACTTGATGATATGAAGGAAAGCTCTTCTGTTTATTTATTTGTTTTACCCAATCCCCTTACCAACTTCTCTTATTAATTCTAATAGTTTTCAGAGAAGTTCCTCAAAACTTTTAGGTATATATCAAGTTATCTGCAAATTCAAAGCAGGTTTGTCTTGTCTTTTCTAATATTTATCTAACTTTATTTCGTGGCTTATTGTGTATTAGCAGAAATGTCAAAAGTTGAATCATCTGAAAAGAACAGATGTATCTCTCTTGTTCCTGATTTTAAAGGTCCTGGCATCAGCAGTTTATGGGAATTTTCTGTACATTTTTGGTAAATAGACTATTGCTGTATTTAGGTAGTTTCCATGTATTCCTCTTTGCTTAGGGTTTTTATTAAGAAAAGTTGCTGAATTTTATTGGATCTATATTAGCAGTTGTGGATATACTCACATAGCTTTTCTACTTTAATTTGCTGTTCTAATGCATGATAGTAGGTGTTGACCTAATATTGAAATCTTGTAATAAATGTTAATTGGTGTTATTATGGATGGATTTGATCTATTGATATTTTATTTACAATGTTTGCCTTTATATTTATAGGTAATTGATCTATACTTTTCTATTTCTATTGTCTTTGAGATTTTGGTATAAAACAATGTTAGCCTTACAAAATGACTAGGGGAACTTCCCATTTTATTACAGCCTAGAGAAGTTTCATAGGAATCATTTATTACTAATGGTTGATTAGATAAAGCAGGTCTTTGTTTTCAGACATCTTTTGAAATCATTGGTCAGTTCAGGTTCTCTGCTTTTGCTTACATGCAGTTTAAGATGTTATATTTTGGTAGAAAATCATCTATTTCCTTTAGATTTTTGAATTTGCCATCACGGCATGTTACATTTACCTTTTTTGGTAATTATTTTCTCCTATGTCTGTAGTTATATTTCCATTCATGGTATTGATTTATGATGTTGAACAGTTTTACTTTTTCTCTTTTAAATTTTATCAGAGTAGTCAGGGTTTTATATATTCTAGAGGTCCTCAAGGAACCACTAGATTTTATTTCTTTTTCATGATTTATTTTGTTTGTTCCTTCATTCACTTTGGCTTTTCTCTGTACTGAAACCGTCTTGACATCGTCTCTGAATATTTGGTTGATGGGGTTGTGGTCAAGCACGGCTCCGGTAGGAGCTTCCTGGCTCTGCTCTAATCTGGTCTCCAGGACCTCCATCTGGTTCCTTACATCTCTGGGTCTTGGTTTCCTCATCTACTGATCTTTATCAGTTCTTCATATAGTTATGAAAGTTTTTGGTTCATACTCCTGGTTTATGGCTTTATAACCCATTTGGACCTATTCATTATGTCAAATATCTGCCTTAACCCCGTCAAAGCTTCTATCCTTAAGATTGTGTTTGTTGGCTCTGCACATGGCCACACTTCTCTTTTTTCTTTTGCATCCACCTTTATAAGCTTTCCCAGCCTTTATATTCAGTTTTTTCTTTGTCTTAGGTGTATTTCTTATAAACAGCATTGTGTTTTCTTCACTTTAAATTATAATGATATTTTATTTTGCATAGTCATAGTATTTGACACTTCAAAAAAAGACATACCACTGATAAATTAAAAAGTAGATATACTTGTTAAAGTTACAGCAGACATAATGTTTAGCTGAGAATCATTTCAATAGCATAAGGCTCTAAAGGTGCCAGATAAACCAATACTTGTTTGGAATAAGATATGCAACTTTCTTAATGACAGGCTTACAGAAGAAGTCCTGGTTCCATGTGGTCAAGGTTACAGTCATAAAACCTAAAGTTTTAGCACAATCGTGCTTCAGACTGAATTTTAAATAGTTATGATAGTTTACACAATATGTGATGGACTGCCTTCTGCAAAAAATTACAACTTGAAGACTTCTTTCAGGCATTACCAGTATCCAATATGTGTACATTCTAAATAATTCTGAAAATATCAAAATTAATAGGTTCTGACATTCACATCTGACATCTCAAGTTTTATGACTGGCAAGTCTTAATGCTCCTGGACTTTGGGGTTTACAAGGTAGCAATATCTTAAATTTGTTTAAGTAGGATGTGGGGAAAATTAAGATCATATGGGCATACATTTCTTGACTATATAGTGCCATTAGCCCCCAATTAACTCTGTAGAGATTGGTTAAGCATCAAAAGCTAAAGCAATAGTTTTTTATGTTAAAATGTAAATACCAGTTACTCCATACTAGTAACACTTTAAAGTCACTAAACTAAGTATTTCCCTTGTAGAGATAACACACAGAAATTAACTGACAGAAACAAATTATGAAAAATGCTAATTACCTAAATGGACCCATGTCCACCCTTTGTGTCTATTTCATACATTCTTCCCACCCACCCCACTCCAGAAAACATTCAGATTATTACATCCCAAAGTAATCTATTCCTGAATTACTTTTCAAGAGACAAACCACCCTACAGTGTATAAGCTACTTAAGTCTGCACATCCTAGGATGCTGCACTTCCATTGTCCTGGCTCTATAATTTGGAAATCTACTCAGGTTTAGTCTCCTTTTAGAACCTTTACAAATAAACATAATTAGAATTTGTGATACTTAAATTCAAAGACAGTACAGATTATGTGACACCTCCTTTTTGGGGGATTAAATGAAAACCACAGGATTCTGTGCGGCTAAAAACTAAATCTGAGTTACTCGTGTCTGGCGTTGTGTAAATATATTTTTAAGTTCATTTTGTTGGACTTCCTTAACTACTTCAGGTTCTGCAGGGCTCTTCTGAACATTTGCCACTGCAGACTTTATCCCCTGGGTTAATCCAGCTTGGGTAATGTTAGCAACCTGTTCTGTGAAACTTCAAACCTTTGCAAAGGGGAGAGACTGCTCGATTGCTACAGCTCTCTGAAGGAGAAAGAGTTACATGAAGCTGTCTCAAGTTCAAGCATGCTGGATTTGGAGCTGGTGGTCTTTTGAGATATAACTGACTGCCCTAGTTCAACTGACACAAATTGTGGCCCTATTGCAGAAAAAGACACATCTAATTGAGGTGATGGTGAAGGTATCTGTTTCCATTGATTTGATTAAATTTCTTCATGAGAAA